GCAGATTCCCAATTCTAACATCAAGCAGAAGTAGGACAAGATAGAAAAAGTGGCATTTCTTAAACTGTGAGGATGGCCTCCTGGGGAGACTCTAACCTCTTCCAGAGCTACAAGCCAATATCATAAAAGCAAAACACATTTCAGAATATGTGGAGTGTGTGTCTATTTGAAAAATAGAAGACCTTTTTTTCTGAGATGCTGCATCTTTTAGTTTGTAAACACTGAACTTCTGAGGAGCATGGGGAGGACATGAACTTTTAAGTATTGCACTGTGCTTCCTCCTCAAACACATCACACACAGTGAAATAGAAGGGACATACCACAGTGGCCCCCGGCTCATTGTCTCTGTCTTTTTGCTGTTGTTGTTATCTCTTCCTCTTCCCTTTTCTCTCGCTCTGTTTTGTTTGTTTGTTTGTTTTTCCTGTTATTGCTGCTGAGTGTTTCTACTAGCAATGCTTAACACTAGAATCTCAGATAATTGGATTCAGTTTTCTGTTACACTTGGTCTAAAATGGTGATGTGGTGATTCATAACAATATTCTGAAATCACTTTCTAGTCCAGCATTTTTTCTGTAGTAGTTGTTCAGGAAGAAATACTGAGGAAATAGTAAAGAATCTGACATACCTACAGTGTTTGTTTTTTGTTGTTGTTGTTGTTTAATATTATTACATAGATTATTATAGTCTACAAGGTAGAGATGTTCTGAACTGAGCATTGGATAGACCATTAGGTTTAATAGCCAGCCGTAAACTAATCCATAAAGATCTATATATCGGAGTAGCCAACTTTCTTGCTTGATGTCCTAATTTCCTTCTCTGTAGAGGTTACTGTACTGATCTCATTTAGAAAGAATTCCAAGCTGTAAAGAAAAAAAAAAAAAAATCCTATTTATATTTGCGTGAAAAAGTATAAATTTAAAATCTAATTAAAAATATTGCTCTTTATGAAAAACCTTACTGTTTCTCATTATGGAAAGTAGAGTAAAAGAACACAAATCAGTATAACAGAAAGAAACCAGAAGATAAGTTTTTTTTGTTGCTGTTGTTTTTTTCACTAGGTTGTACTCCTACGTTCTAATTAAAAAAAAAAAAAAAAAAAAAAACATTTATAGATATTCAGCTTGTCTGATGAAAGTATGTGAGATGTGGAAATACGTACAGCCTCCCAAGGATGGATATGGAAGTATTTTTTTGCATGTCAGGGATCCAAAGTGTCAATGGAGCTGAAACTTCTAAGATACGTGAAAGGAAAACATAGAAATGTGTAGAAAGGAGTATCTACAAGTATACTACCAACTTAAGGAAGACAAAAAAATAAGATTTGGGGCTGGTGCTCAAAAGAGTGAGTACATACTCATGAAAAACAGAAAAGACATAACTCACTTGGGACTTTCTGTATCCCTGTCTTTACTAGTGTGCTCATATGACTCACAAAAAAAGTTTTAAAAGAGATATAAATACAACTCATAAAGGAGGGAGATCAATGAAGTATAAATCAGTCTATCTGGATGTGTGTCTTTTGATACATCAGAATAAGTTGCCTCTCAGCACATTGACTGAAAGTCCATTCTGTGTTGTTTGAAAAATCTCATGAGATGCCCAGTAACTGATAAAAGGCACATATATAAGAATGACATAATCAGAATGTATTCATAACTTTCTTCAACATATGGAATTATCACATCTTATGATAATTATTATAATTTTTGTTGCTGTTGTTTTGTTTTCTGCTTCCAATTATAATGGAAAAAGAAAAAAGTTATTCTGCTTTCATTAATGTTTTAGAAATTTGTTTGTTTCTTTCCAAACTTGATTCTTGTTCTTAAGTACAGCATCTTTCTCAAGTAGGAAGGTGATTTTGTTTAAAAAGATTTCCTGTCACGTTTTTCAGTTAAGTCTTAGTCATAATACACAAGAGAACATTATAGACTGGCATCAATGTGTAAAGTGCTATAAGCATGACAAATCTTCACTTTAATTCTTAGAATTGATTTTTATTTTTATTTTTTATTTGAGGAGATGTGATTTTCTCCTCTCTTCTGCTTGATGTTTACTGATTAGGAATTATCTCATTATTTTTCTCCTACTAGGTAAAAATGTATCTAGATCTATACATGACTATTTTTTTCAAAACCATTAATATATCAGGAAACAATTAAAGATATATGTGTACCAGTTGCAGAATTAATCTGTTTCTTGTTTTGTAATAGAACTAGGTAAAACATAAAACCAAAATCACTAAAACACATGGAAAGTCTTTGTATCTATCTCCATATCAATAAAACCTATAAAACAAGAGTAAGATTTGAAACCTCTCTTGAACTAAAAATCAAACAGCCACATTTACACAGAATCGTAAAGCAGCTTAGGCTGGAAGCGATTTTAAAAATCTTCTAATTCCAACCAATGTGTCATGGTTACCTCCGCCAAGATCAGGCTGTGACAGGGCATCTGTCTCGCTCCAGTTTATAGGAGGGAGATGAGGTTCTTTTAGTATCTGTATACCCAGCATGAGATTAAGAAACAATGGTTCATATGTTAGTCCAACCAGTTTATTATAAATCCTCATCATGGAAACAGGGAAGTGAAGGGGAGGTGACAGAAAAGATAGGAAAGAAGCAAGAATCGCATAAAGCGGGGATAGTCTCCACCAGGATCCAGCTTCATGGCCATTAAGCTGCAGCTCATCTCTCTCTCTTTGCCCCTGGCCTTGTCCATCTGTGTGTCTCAGACAAAGGATTGCTCAACCCTTGCCCAGGACTCGCTTGGACTTGTTCATCTGTTTCCCCAGCAAGCTTTGAGATAATGATGTAAAAGAATAATCTCTTACAGCATCTCCAATCTATTCTTAAATGCCTCCAAAGGTTATGCTTCCACAACTTTGGCCAACACGTTCCAGTGCCTCACTACATTCAAAGTAAATAATTTCTTCCTAACATCTAACCTAAATCTCCTGTTTCAGTTTAAAGCTATTCTCCCTTGGACTATCAATATTAGACCACTTAAAATGTTGGTCTCCCTCATGCTTTTAAGTTCCCTCTGAGTACTGGAAGACTGCAGTGAGGTCTCTCTGTAGCTATCTCTTCACCAGGATAAACTAGCCCAGATCCCTCAGTCTTTCTTCAGAGGATGAAGCATCTTTATGAACCTCCTCTGGACCAAATCCATCGGCTCCATGCCATTCTTCTGCTGGGAGCTCCAAGCTTGAACACAGTACTCCAGATGGGGCCACATGAAGGCAGAGTAAAGGGGGACAGGGAATAGAATGATCCTAGATGAGATAATTTAAAGAGAAGAAAATTAGTGGCGATGGAGAGATCTTGCTCTTTAAGTAAAACCAGAGAGTGAGTAAGAGAGGGGAAATACGTTTGTGTTCAGTCTGTGTTAAAAATTCCCTGTCCACAGCCTGGAGATCTGATACATGCTCTGTGGTTTGGTATTGCTTTATCAATCCATTGGATATCTAATGTGGTTTAAAAGCAAAGACCTAGGGCAAAAACAAAATCTCCTTTCATTGTCTTACCCCACATAAAACAAAATCTGATGGATCCTGTGTTTCTTCCTACAGCTACCCATATCCAGTTTGAAGAAGGTGGGGTATAACATGGCCTAATATGTTTTATATTAGAGTTTGACGGTTAAAAAAATCTGGAATGTTAGTTGCTGATATTTCAGACATTTTGAAATTCTGAGTAAAGCGCAGTAGAATCTTACCCTTAAATGGCCTATCAGTCTGCTATTTTGGAATTTAGTCTATGAACTTTTTCCTCAAGAAGGTGAAATATTTTCAGTGATATATTAGAATGTCCTTGGGTTAGAGACACATTCATGAATAAATGATAATGGTCAACACAAAAGTCTATTCACAGCTAGTGTTATCAATCAATGTGAGTGACTACTGAAAGAGATTTAGGAGTCAGACTTTTAAAAGAGCATAAGGAATCTACTTTCAATTTCCAGCAAAAACTGACTGTATATATTCAACCTAAACTATTTTTAAAATCCCAGCTTAAATTCTCAAGAGAATTTTAAAAAAAATACAGGAGTTGAGATTGCATCTTGCTTCTCATAGCACTGGTCAATGTTGATATGCATATGCTTTGCTTTAACAAACTTTCCTGAATCTTAATATCTTTGGAGAGTTGATTTTGTTCAGGAGGATCTTGATCCTGGCTGAGTGTTGCCATGGTATTGGATTATTCTGGGCTGTGATCGAGAACAAACAAAGTTTAAAAAGAAACCGCCTTTAAAGCATACTCTTGAGCTACAGTGTCTAGCATCTAAGAAGTAAATCTTGATCTTTCTAGTATGTGGCACTTGTTGAATACATGTTAATATATATATATTACTGTAGAAATAAATACATTTGAAAATATAGGAAAACACAGGAGAAGAAAACTGAGACAATTTTTCCTCCATTTAAAATTGTTCATTTTTTTTTTAATGGTATTATCCCATTATCCCAGCTTCCTGGGGAGTACTTGAAAGAGAACTTTTTGCAAATGATACTGTTGTTTTATTAGGCACTGTTCCAAAGCTGGAGGGAGGCAATGAATGTGTTTTTGATATTACTGAGCTTTTGAATTGAGTGCATAATAAGGAGTTTGTAACTATCTCCATCCCTAGATAGTAATGTAACTCGTCTTTCACACCTGTTAGCACGCACTGAATTGCTAGTCATCTAAGTGTACCAGGAGTGCTGCAGAAAATTCTAGAAATACAAACAAGAGTGTTTTCTTTAAGAGAGTGCTGGCACATTAATTTGATATTCTCGGAAGACTGAGCTCCAGTGAGAGGAAAAGGAAAGAAAAAAAAAGAGTCCCTGGAAAATCTTGGTGGTTCATAATCTAGAGTGATGATCCAACTTTCACTAAGGGTTTTAAAGCAGTAAAGCAATATGAAATTACTGGGGGGAAGGAGGATGTTTTCAGCAAGTCTGTTACTTAAAAATGGAGTATTTGGTCTGCCAAATTATTGAGCATGTTCTTCCAATTTCTTAGGCAGAATTCACAGCCATGAGGGACCAATACATGCGAGGCGGAGAAGGTTTCATTATCTGCTATTCCATCACAGACCGTCAATCTTTTCAAGAAGCTGCTGAGTTTAAAGAACTCATTTATCGTGTTCGGCACACCTATGACATCCCCTTGGTGCTGGTGGGGAACAAAACAGATCTTGAGGAGTTTAGACAGGTAAGCAACTTGTTTTGATTTACCTTGGATACTTCAGGGATTTGTGTAGCAGATGTTGTGCAGTACTGCAGAACAACTCAACACAAAAATCTACGCATTAGGATTGGTAACAAATTAAGTAGTTAGTGGTACATTTAATTCAAAGGTTATAGATCTTAAAGCATCCTTGGCCAATCACATCCAAGCATTACTCACTTTTCACTGAAAATTAGTCCCTCCATTTTCTTCAGAAGTTCTATATGTGTCTAATTTGACAATAGATTCACTGAAAATCTGGGGTGGGGAGAGGGGGAAAAGTTGTCTTTGGAAGCTACCAAACTTTAAGTCCAGATTGTTTTCATAAAAGTGCTAGATTTAATTAAAGGGCTGTTCTCAAGCAGGCTGAAGCAAAAAATCTAATTAAAATAGCCAAATTCATACAATTACATCTGTGCCTGAAAAGCCAGTGGCTGTGCCATCAGAGTTTACAGACGTAAGTGGGACATGTAAGACATGAATTCATTTTAGTTTACATACAGCTATCATTACCCATAACACAGTAAATTTTATTTCCTTTGAGGTCAGATTCTCAGAATGAAAAGTAAACTTAGCTCAGTTTATTTAGTTTGCTTCCTCTCATCTTCCTTTATACTATTTGTATTGATGTCTGCATGTGCAGAGAGTTAGTTAGGGAGAGATTGTGTTAAAAATGGCTTGGTTGTAACCTGGTATAGAACAAAAATTATCCTTAATTGTAAGCAGAAACTTTGAAAGACAAAAAATTAATAAGATTTCCTGTGTGAAAATCTTAAAAGGCTCTTTATGCATGCTGCATTTGCTTTTAAATGACTGGATTCTGTGCAGATACTCCTAACAGTTCAATAAAATGGTATTTTTTCAGTTCATTAGCATCTATGCACTCATGATCCTGTTTTCTCTTATCGACTTGTCATTTTTCCCCCTATTCTCTTTTCTTCTCTCTCCTATCTAAAGAAAATTCAAAGCAGTATTAAACCCAAAATAAGTTCTGAGATCTGATGAAATATGTTTAATGCTTAACATATGTTTGCAGATGAACTTCCTCCCTAAATCAGACTGTGAGAAAACCTTAATGATGACAAAAACAAAAACAAAAAACAACAACAACAAAACACAACAACAATGCAATATGCAATATGAAGCACAATATGCACAGATTCTGAGGTACTTCATGTACCAAGTGAAGAAAAGATGTAGACTCCATTCTATTGGGAAAATAAGAGATTGAAACTGATTCTAATAAAAATAGCATAGAATTGACTTACATATACATAAGGTTTTCAAGAATGCCATTTTCACTGAATGATCAAAGACTCTCTCCCAGTTTTGTTTGGTACAACTTCTTTATCTCATGCTTTACTGAGCACTTATATTTAGTTATTATCAATGCATATGAAGATATATGTCTGATTTTTATTAAATACGTTAACTGACTTCAGCAGCTCATTATTTCACAACTCTAACTTGAGGTTGTGCTGTATGTTTAAGTAACACTGAAATAAGCCGTATCTATTCTTACCTTCTGTTTTAAGCAATACCTAAGTAACTTAAGAAGGTAGAATGAGAGGAATCCTTTCATGGTCATGTACTGCAGTTAAGACTCATTTAATACGGCTTGGGTGCTCAACAGTGGTAGCCAACTATCTCTGAGCTGGCATGCAGCAATGAGTTGACAAAGTATGGCATTAACGTATCAGTGATCAAAGAGTGAGGTGCACAAGTAATCAATTTGAGCTACTGAGAAATTGTAAATATTCAAATGCAATTACCCAGTCTGGAATTTGACCAGAGCACTAGAGCTAATATTGTTGTTTTGCTTGATAACATTTTTGTACTATGAAAATCATTAAAGCTGCTGTAATATTATTCATTGTATTTGAAAACGCATTAAGTTCAACATTCCCTGATATCATTTCCATTTAATGACATTTCCACAATAATCAGGCCGTGGAAGCTCAGCCAGACAAAGATGTTTGAAATGAGAACCCCTGCACGCTATACTTAATGATGTATACGTCTTGCTTCCGATCTATCAACAGGACTATAAGAATAAAAGTAATTTGAAACTACAGTTTTGTATTAGAAGAAACACTACTGAAACCAAGCCAATTTTGAAGTATTTTTATTTTATCATAGCTTTGGTGAAATTACTGTTGTCACTGTTGCATACCTGTCACTTTTAATGTCTTAAGAAATGAGTTTGTCTGTGCAACTACAGAAAAGAAGTTTAGAAGTTTTAATTATATCATTCGAAAGAATAAACACTTTCAATTTTCCCAGAAACAATGTAAGGGAGCAACTAAAAACTAGTGGAAAAAAATATGTATATATAAAGCATATTCACAGAATGACTAAAAGGTTGAGATTGGAAGGGACTTCTGTCTGGTCCAGTTCAAGCAGAGCCACCCAGAGCAAGGTGCCTAGACGCATGTCAGGACAACCATTAATGATCTCCATGGTGGAGACCCACCACGTCTTTGGG